AAGCACAACGAGATATCATCTTACTGTAGTTAGAATGGTAGTTATCAAAAAGATATAAAATAGCAAATACTGGTGAGAATGCAAAGAAAAGAGAACTCTCCTACATTGTTGGTGGGAATGTAAATAGGTACAGCCATTGTAGGAAACAGTATGGAGGTTCTTCAGTGTATTAGTCTGTTTCTGTTGCTTATAACAAAATACTTGGAACTGGGTGATTTATAAGAAAACAAAATTTATTGCTTACAGTTTCTGAGGCTGGGAAGTGCAAAGTCCAGGGAATACAGTTGGCGAAGGCCTTGGTGGTGGTGACAGTTATGGCAGGGTATCACATTGCAAAAATGGTGGAACAGAGAGAGCAACAGACTTTTCATGCTCCCCTTTTAAAGCCCAAGAACCACGCTCCTGACCACCATTTTTAATCCATTCACTAGGGCGTGGTTCTACAATCTAATCACCTCTTCAAGGCTCCACCTTTCAATTACTGTAATAGGATTTCTCACCCTCTTAACAGTCACAGTGGGAGCTGGAGGACACAACTCAAGCTTCAGTGAATTTGGGGGGGACATAATTCAATCCACAACACTCGGAGAACTAAAACTGTAACTACCTTATAACCCCACAATCCCACCAGTGGGTATATACTTGAAGGAAATGAAATCAATATATTGAAGGGACACCTGCAGTCCAATGTTCATTGCAGCACTATTCATAATAGCCAAGAGATGGAATCAACCTAAATGCCCATCAACGGATGAATGGATGAAAAAAAAAAACCCAAAACTGGTATATATGCATGTATTAGTCCGTTTCTGTTGCTTATAACAAAATACTTAGAACTGGGTGATTTATAAAGGAAATGATATTTATTGCTTACAGTTTCAGAGGCTAAGAAGTCCAAAGTCCAGGGAACACCTCTGTGAATCTTCTTTGGTGGTGGCTTTACAGTAATGCCAGGGATCTCACATGGCAGAAAATGGGGGAGCAGAGAGAGACTAACCTCCTTATTAACTCTTCTTTTTGAAGCACTCCAAACCACACCCATAACCACCATTATTAATCCATTCACTATGGCCTGGTCCTAGAATCTGATGACCTCTTCAAGGCACCACCTTTCAATTACCATAGTAGGATTTCCCACCCTCAACAGTTACAGTGGGGATTAAGTTTTGGGGGGACGTTCAACCCAAGGCTTTACACAATGGAATACTGTTTGTAAGTAAAGTGAAATCCTGCCACTCGCAGCAACTGATGGAACTAGAGACCTTCCTGTTAAGTGAAGTAAGTAAGCCAGGCACAGAAAAACAAATACCACATGATCTCACTCATATGTGGAATCTGAAGGAAAAAAAAAAAAAGGTGGTTCTTATAGAAGTACAGAGTAGAATAATGGTTACCAGAGGCTGGAAGGGGAAGAGGGGGCAGGGAGAGGGAAAAGAAAGGGGCAGATTAAGAGGTATAAAGCTATGTTATCTACCCTAAATGAATCAGTGTGTAGTATATGCATGTACTGAAAAACAGACATACATATGCAATTAAAAATAAGTAAAATAAAAAATGATAGGAAAAATTTTTTAAATTTGCATAGTTATAGTGAAAACCAAAATTTTGTCAAATAATGGAGTCCTTTAAATATAGTACTTTATAATTATGTAGATTCTTTTCCCCTTCAGAGTACACACACACTCTTGCTTTTTCCAACTGTAGATGGCAGTAGTACATAAAGTATGTCAACTGAAGGCAGAAAATCTGCAGAGTGCCATTCGATCCCTATCAGATTTTCACAGCCCAGCTAACCTGTTGTCAGAGAAACCACATGATTATGTCTAAATTAAGGATGTCTGGATTCTTTTTTCTGGTGGGGCCTCTGAAATTAATTTTTTATTTATTTTTTATTTTATTTTTGATTGGCTGGCCAGTAACCTTGATCAAACCCTGGACCTTGGTATTATCGACACCACTCTAACCAACTGGGCTAACCAGCCTGCCGCAGGGCTCTGAAATTTAAAACTCATTTTCCTTATCATATCAACTGAATATTAGAAGTATGTTTTTACTTCTAATTTTAATTTTGGATTTCACTGTTTAGGTCAGGATTATAAAGCATGTCTGGCTCATCACCCCTATAAATTAATTTTCCTATTTTAAGTGATTGATCAAGACTTTCCCTTGGTTTTGTTTCTTAAGGCTCTGTTATCCTACTTTTAGGAACTCATAGCATCTCACATGCACTTGAAACTTGTCTTCCAATTCTACCATCCCTCCAATTTGTTTAGTTGGGAAATGTTTATTAAGGAATTACTTTGTATCAGGGTCTGCTAGGAGAAAGGAGTAGTGTGTTGCTTGTCACTCTCAGATCAGCAAAGAGTGTCAGCTGACAATCTGATGTTGAGGAAGAAAAAAGAAACTAGAATATACTGGTAACAGTTCTTTTCCAAAGTCATTTTCAATAAAGATAACCAGTTTTTCTCTATGTCCTGTTTCCCTTCCTCCTCACTTTTTTTTTTTTTTTTTTTTTTTTTTTTTTTTTTTACTGGTAACAGTTCTTTTCCAAAGTCATTTTCAATAAAGATAACCAGTTTTTCTCTATGTCCTGTTTCCCTTCCTCCTCACTTTTGTTTTTTTTTTTTTTTTTTCCTTTTCTGTATAATCCCTTAAATTAGGTAAAACTGAGCATGCAGGCTGCTAATAGCAGATACAGGAAAAGAATTCCTTAATAGTAATACTGTGCATGTAGTTCAATCTATATCAAAGATAAGTTGGAATGCTTAGAATAGCTTTTTTGGAGACTTCTGTTCTAGGAGTAGAGTAGTCCAGAGACTAATAAAATACTCACATTTCCTTCTGAAGCTGTCAGTACCCAAGGTCAGCATGATAGAGAACATTTGAATGTGTGATATAGTGATTGGTGAGAACTGTGCCCTTTGTATTATATTTTCTTATTGGATTTTATGTTATCCTTTCCAGCATATCAGTGAACGAACATTATTTTAAAAGTTGGGTCTTCTGACCAAGTACAGTTAATATGAGTGTGCTTCACAAAGTTCATGGAAAGGTTTGTATTATCTTTTAATTCTGTTTTTCTGTGAACTTTTTGAAGTACTCTTGTGTTTATTGTGCCTTTCCAAAAGTGTTCCTAGCATTGTGCTAGACCCTGCAAAGCACATAGTTTGGTAAGGCACGCTTTCTACCTGTGAAGATCCTGCACTGAAATGGAAGTGGGGAGGTGAAGTGAGATGTGTGGAGGAGTGGGAAATACAAACATGTAGAATACAAGGCAGAATTTGATGAGAGGTGCAAACACATGGTCTAGTTTCATGTTTTCTTATGAGGCAAGCATCTGAGTGCTTTATTTAATACCCTCAGCATATTGTAGTTAATCAGAATTCTGCAGACATCTGTCAGTATTATTGTCTTTTATTTTTATTTTTTTAACTATAGAATTAACTTATTAAAATTATTTCTTAAGCATTTGTAGGTACTAACCTCTCCCTTGCCCCATAATGGCATAATGTCAAAACACAAGCAGAAGCTAACTAAAGTTCTTAAATACTTAGTAAATGAATAAATGTTGACTAGACTTTAGTAACTAAGTCTGAACTGTTTTTATATTACAGAGTTTATTGTTTGACTCTTTCCTTCAAATGCAAATAACAAGCTTGAAATGTTTATAAATCCTTCCCTTTGGTCCTGTATGGAGCAAGTTAGCAACTAACTTAAAGACCTAACCTAGACCTGGCTGCAAAAACTGGTTTCATTTGATCAGGGAGAAAAAAATTAGTGTTTTGGCTTACATAAGGCAATAGATATAGAACTATTTCTTTTGTTTTAAGACTTATTTAACAATTATATGTAGTCCATATAGATGTTTTTCACTTTTAATTGGGACTTAAATGTTACTATTATGGACATTTTATTTATGTTTTTGCCCTACCTATTATAGACATTTTTAAAACTTTACAAAAATAGAACCCCTCTGTACCCAGCATCTGCTTCAATAATTATCCACATAAGACCAATCTTGTTTCATTAATATTCCCATTCACTGGAGCATGCTCTTTTTTTTTTTTTTTTTAATAAAAATACTTTATTTCTATTTATTTGAATTAAATTAAAGATAGCCTGAGAAAATACTTTTAAAGCTATTACTAGGCTGCCAGATTTTTTGTATTATTTATATGTCTTTAGAAAAAACTTTTTTTCATCAATGAAAATGATAAGACCTAGAATGCAATTTGGTGATACATATCAAGAAGCCCTTTTTTTTAAAGTTCATATCCGTGGTTCCATTAACTCCCTTTCTCTAGTCTAGCCTTAGGAAATAGAAATTAAGGCGAAGACCATTATACAAAAATGTTTATTATGGCATTATTTATAATAGAGAATAATTTAAAATCCATATATACCTAATAATGGGGAATAATAAATCCTCATTGTAGAATGTTTTATAGTCTTTTAATGCCTTTAAAGAGTGTTTGATAACATGAGGAAATGCCTGTAAAAAAACAAGATAAAATTGCATCTGTAAAGTAATCCAAATTGTGTAGTGTCTTTGTGCGTATGATGGACGGTGAAGATCTGGTTTGCTGTTACCCTGGTTCTAGTAAATCAAGCTCTACTGTAATTCGTATCCTGAATTTCAAAGAAAGCTTTTCATCTTTTTGATTTTTTAAACACTGTCAGATCCCCATTCTGGCCAACTGCCCCAAACAAAAAGAAAGAAACAAAAAATATTGTCAGTTGCCAACGTTGTCCTTCCAAATTCCTATTCACTTGCTGAAACCTGTGTTGTGTTGTCGTGCCAGTATTCAGGATACTTGTGCTTTAAGATCCTAGGATATAAATAAATCAAAGGCTTGTTTATATTTTAAATGGTTGACATTAAGTGCCTTTTAGGCAGCAAGGTTTCCTCGTTGTGTGTAGGTTAGTAGTCAACATTATTTTCTGCCGGTAGGCTTTTCTTAATAACTAAGAGTATTATTTTCTTTTTCTTAACCTTGCAGATTATAAGTACACCACAGAGACTAACCAGTTCAGGAAGTGTTCTGATTGGGAGTCCATACACCCCTGCACCAGCAATGGTTACTCAGACACACATAGCAGAAGCTACTGGCTGGGTTCCCGGGTAAGAGTATTGCAAGTTACCCTTTTAAAAACCCTCTCTAAAAAAAAGAAAAAGTTCCAACCTTTTTTTCACTGCCTTATCATCTGTTCTTGTTTTATGTTAGTCTAATTCTTAAAAATAAATAGTTTTCTTTTAAAATCATCTATTTTATTTCATTTTGTATCTTAGATATAAATCATCTCTGTAGCAACCATTTTTAAACAGAGAAAACCAATGTAGTTACTTGTAACTGAATCATGTGACTTTTTCCAGCTCTGAAATGAGGCTGTTTTATGATGATAACATTTAGCTGCTTTGGAGATATAAAAACTATATATTGTTTTAACACACATAAGAAAAGAGTTACATATTAAGTGTTAGCTATACTCAGAATTTCCTTTATGAATTCCTATTTCCTTAAAAATAAGAAAAGGAACTAGGAAAAAGAGGCCACAGATCTTAAAATTTTTATTAAATTTTCCCTTGATTCTTTTTAAACACTGGACAATTAAATCAATGCACCTTCTATGTTACTCATTTGCTACTTTTAGTATTGAACCGTTACATGTTTCATCTTTGCGTGTAAAATACCCTTACCCAACCTTTCTCCACTCTTTATCATTTTAGCACCTCATCCTTCCATACAAGAGAAAGAAATATTAAGATAAATGACTCAAACCTCATTTTGTCACTTTAGAATTTTTGTTGCTTTAGAAGTTATTTACATGGTGACATACTGTACTAGTGGTTTTATCATATGTGAATTTTAGCAAGTAGACAATAAATCTTGATTGAGTAAGAATCTCCTTGCTTTAAGGATAAGTGAATTAATGAAATAACAATGCTGGCAAAGTGCTTTAAACTATTTACATATTAATGTACATGCATACATACACACATACATTAAAGACAGAAGAGTTATATGTATACATATTTCTTTATTATCAAATGAGGTGAAATGACAGAATCACCTGTAACCACCTTTGTTTGGTCCTTATGGAAATTCTCACATTGATCTACAAGCTGCCTTGGATATCTGCATGGCCTTGAAAGATTGTAATTGAAACCAAGCCTGTGCCAGTAGTGTTGGCACCCTTTGGAGAAGACCAGAGTTAGGATATTTTTAGCCCCAATGGTGCTTTATACTGGGTGTGGCAAGATTGATTTTATAGTCAATCATTACGTACACATCTTTTATATTTGTTAGTTTTTGTCTTTGGATATATTCAGTGTAGAATTAGACAAGCTATAATAAACCACGAAATAAAGTTGTTATATATGTGTTGTTTTTATGCTATCTTTTTTTCTTTTCAGTGATAGAAAACGGGCTAGAGAATTTATAGACTCTGATTTTTCAGAAAGGTGAGTATCAGTGTAAAAGTTTTGTTGGGAGATTTTGCTGTGTGGAGAGGAGTTTGGTGCCCAGACTCTAGTTTAAGTAATGAGGTATTTTTCTTCACATAGCTTTAACTTCATTTAGTTTCTACCATTATTTCATTCTGCATTGGGTATTCCAACTCACTCATACTATCTGTATGATTTCAATAGAAGTTATCCTGTGAGCAGATTGGCTGTTGGTAGTATATCATTTAGTCCCCTCCCTCCTTTTGGGAGATGAAGTGTTCTACCGAAGTGAATACTCTACATTACTCTAACATACCCAAACCTTTTTAACAGTAGGTTTTATTGAAAACAGTTATAGATAATAGTAAACTCTCACTTGTTTCTTAAACAATGTATTGGGTATGATATCACCTTTCCTTAGAATACTAGGACACTGGTTCTCCATTCTGGGTGTGCACCAGAATCACTTGTGTTCTATTGAAATATAAATACCTACCGAGTCATAAACTCCAGGATTAAGAACTATCAACTTGGGGTCATTATTTGAACCTGAGTTCAAGCCCCTATCCTAGGTGCCATGTTAATGTATCACTATGTTGGGTAGAATCAGACTCAGTCTTAGAGGCAGTGAAATTCTATAAGATTGTCACTATTTTAAATAAAATCTTGCCAGCTGTGCTTTTTAAATTTATTTTTAATTCTAAGATTTTGTAACTCCTTTTTTTAGGTGATGTTTTAGTCTCCTTCCTCCTATTAGATCATCTGCTCTTAATATAATAGTTTTCTGTCTTCTCCATTTTCAGATTTGCTGTCTCTGGTTTGTCATTCAGTGTGAAACTAGATGGCCAAATGTATTAGATTTCGGTCTAAAATGAAAGTGGATAGACTCTGAGCAAGAACCTTGGGACTATATATAAAGAATATATGTTTTCGTGCATTGACACTAGTGCTGCAGTAGTTCCTTGGTGACTTTTGTTGCTTGTTTCTTGGTTCTTAACTATTTTCAACAGATAAAATCATGTCTGAGGAACTGCTATACCATATAGAAATATATGGTGAAATGTTCTTTCCTCTCTAATGGAACTCACAGTGGTCTTTCTTGGTGTTTATCCTTGGAAAGAACAGCACTTTAAATTCTTACTAATGTATTTAGCAATGTTTAAGACATTGAAAATGGAAACATTCATTAGTTATAACTTGTGACACCTGTGAACTACAAACAGTTTAAAAAACAAGATTTTCTTTACTCCCTTCATGAGAGAGAACTGTGAAAATCACATACAAAAGTGTTAGATTAAATTTATGGATTGGTGTAGCTATTGATTCAACTTTCCCTTTCTACATTTGGTTCAGTGACTTCTTTTCCTAGTGCTTTTTATTATTCTAGTTTTATTTTCTAACATAACTTTTCTGTAATGTATTCCACCTCACCCCCGGTCAGACCACAAAGATTGCTACAAGTGTTATCTTTATTCTTCTCCTAAATGAGTAAGATTTAGCACAGTGGTGTTTCATTCTTCCCTTATGCGCTTTTAGTCATATCTTCTTTTTCTTTTGGAGTACAGTTAAAACTCAGTTTATGTATAGTAAACCAATAATTTATAATAAGCTAATATAATTTAAAGTAAAATAAGCTATAGTAATCAGAATCAGTATAATTAAGAGTTCCAGTCACGATGGCAGAATAGATGGTCCCTGGCCTCACTCTCTCCCACAAATCAACCAATTTACAACAATAAAAATGCAACATCAGCCAAGCTGGGGCCACTGAAGATCAAGGGAAGAGGAGGAGAGACCTACGGAGTTCAAGAAGGCGGGAGACACCACGATGAGAGAAATAAAAAGCTGCTCTGAGTGTTTCGGGATGCAACCTCTTTAAAGTTGGAACTGCTGAGTGCATGGAGCAGGAGCCGGCAAAAGCTGCAGCTATGCCCTTCGGGTGGAGTTACTTGGAGGTAGCAGGGGAGAAGAGGGCCTTGGAGGCCCCCAGGACAGCAAGATCACTAATAGGGTTCCTATGGACCCACACAGGAGCGAGGAGCCAGAACAGCTTTAAAGGGGGGCCATTCAGAGGCTGGTGAGTCATCACATGGGACCTACACAGGGCCCACCCCATGGGAAGTGTTTGGAGCATGGGCGGCGGGGGAGACAGGCCCACCTGGGGAACACTGGGACACAGCAAGGACAGCTGATCTGCCCCCAATCAGCACAGGACCACATCAGGAATATAGAATTGCATGGGGTGCAGTTTGATGAAAAAACTCAGGCCCAGACCAGAGTTTCTATACAACCCAAGTGCACCAGGTCTCTGGAGAGCCAGAAGTACCTATAAGGTCAACGATTAAACCCGGAGCTGCACAAAAAGCCTTCCCTAGGGAAACAGCAGCAAAGCAGCAATTTAGCTCAACCACAGAGTTCAAGTACTCATTCCCACAGGAAGCTCCCCCATTTTAGAAGTAACCAAAGGAAAAAAAATTAGTTCCAGCCCAGGTAAACAACCAGCACCTTGGGGCCTGCCAGGGGACATGAGGCATGGAACAGGGGACCAGACCCCGCCCACAACCACTCACACCACTAGTGCCTCAGGACCCCACCTGGGGTCCCGGAGCATGGAGCCAGGGACCAGACCCCCTCCCACCACCAGGCTCACCAAGCCAGTGCCACGGGGCCCGCCTGGGGACCCAAGGCATGGAGAAGGGAACCGGACACCCCACTGACAACCAGGCACACCGTGCCAGCACCTTGGGTCCTGCCTGGGGACTGAGGCATGGAGCTAGGGACCAGACACTCCCCACAACCATACATACTGCCAGTGCCAAGGAGCGTGCCGAAAACATCACCTCCATGTAGGTGGCCCACCACAGCCACCACAATAGCCATGGCTGCCACGAAAGTGGCTAGATACCACAACCACCACGCAGATGGTCCGCCGGCCACTGGAGTGTATTGACACAAGGAGAGTCACCAGCAGAGATAAAGAAAAGAAGAGGATGTCTCTCTCCACAAAGCCCATTTCAGAGTGACAGAAGGAGCATGTGCTCTATGATAATATTGGGGGACCTGATCATACCTCTTAGCATTGGACATATCATCTAGGCAGCAAATCAACAGAGTAACCATCATTTCAGAAGGAGGGAAGAAATCTAGGGTAATTAGAGAGGAGAGGGGGATGGTGAGAGACTGGACAAGGGGCATAAAGAATAATTACAATTTGTAACAATATGTATGCTAGTAATATTGATTTGATCAACATATCTCAATGTTGAATCCCAAAAATATGTATAATCAATTATGATGCAATAAAAATTAAAAATAAAATCAGTATAATTAAAATCTCTGTACTTGCTTCAGTGATGTTTATCAATTTGTTCACTCACTGAACAAATATATTTTGAATATCTGCAAAGTATTGGTATTTCTAGGCATTGGAGAAAATTATAAGTAAGACTGTGCCCTTAAAGTACTTATATTGGGTGGGGGTGAGGGGGCAGTAAACAAATAAGATAATTTTAGATTATAATAGATGCTATGTATTTGTAGAGAGCATTGGAAGAATAATGGCTACCTTAGAAAAGGTCTCTCTGGGCCGGCCCCGTGGCGCACTCGGGAGAGTGCGGCGCTGGGAGCGCAGCGGTGCTCCCGCCGCAGGTTCGGATCCTATACAGGGATGACCAATGCGCTCACTGGCTGAGCGTAGTGCGGCCAGTCACAAAAAATAAAAAAAGAAAAGGTCTCTCTAAGGAGGTGATCTTTGAATGCAATGAAGGCAAGTATGTAAATAGCCAGGTGTCATGTGGGGAGCCAGGGTTTCTAGGCAGAAGGAATGAATGGCAAATGCAAAACTCCTAAGTGAGGAACCAAGTTGATGTATTTAGGGAAGCACCATGGACTGGAGATAGAAAAAGAGTGATATGGGATGAGGATGGAGAGGCAGAAAGGGGTCAGGTTATAAAAGGCCTTGTTGATATGGTAGGGAATTAGGTTTTTGCTCTAAGGAGCATTTTAAGCAAGGAAATAACATGATCTAATTTACGGTGGTTGCTGAGTGGATAATAGATTCTAAGGAGGCAAGAGTGAAAGCAGGGAAGGCTATTGCAGGGTTATTGGCATGGCAGCGGAGATGGAAAAAAGTGGATAATTTTAGAGATAGAACCAGCAGGATTTACTAATAGATTGAATGAAGGAAAGGGGGTAATTAAGGGTGGCTCTTGGGTTTTTTTGCATGAACAGCTGGGTGAATATTTATGTTATTTACATTTATTGTTGTTAGGAGTAGGTTTGGGGGGGAATTGAGAGTTTTGTTTTAGACATATAAAGTTTGATAAGTTTATTTGTTCTTCAAGTGGTGATATCATTAGTATATAAGTAGTATCATCGGTATGTAAGTGATCAAAGGCCTGGACGACATAACCCCTGGAGGTCCTTAAAGAATAAACAAATATTCATTTCCTGTTTCAAATACTGCCCCCCCCACACACACACTACAGGTAAATGGATACATACTTAGAGGAAAGTGATTTTGTGTGTGTGTGTTATGTAAGTGATCAAAGGCCTGGACGACATAACCCCTGGAGGTCCTTAAAGAATAAACAAATATTCATTTCCTGTTTCAAATACTGCCCCCCACACACACACACTACAGGTAAATGGATACATACTTAGAGGAAAGTGATTTTGTGTGTGTGTGTGTGTGTGTGTGTGTGTGTGTGTGGCTAGGTTAAGTCAAGGGTTAATTTTATAAACAGTACTGAATTATTTTGTTGACTTAAACATTCTGGTTGTCTCTCATTTTAATAAGGAATGAAATTTTTATTATGTATTATATATAATTTCTTATTTAAATTGAATACATTTATTATAACATATACTACAAATTTTAGTTTTATATTACTTTTTGTAAATAATAAAAAATTATTATTGGGAAAATATAAAAAGATGGTGGTTTGTGGAGTCAATTTAAGTGCCTGGAAAGATAAATAACCTTTTCTTTCATTGTTTTGGTACAAGTCTTTTTAATATTTCAAATGAAATTATTTGTAGAATGCAACATGCTTTGCAAGCTGTAGTGTATTTGTGGTTTTATTTTCTTATTTACTTTTTAGTTTCTTAATTTCGTTTTATTTGGTAAAGAGTGCTTCCTCCAGGTACCTTTATTTGGTTTAGGAAGTAATAGATACCATAGTGTTTACATATTGTGGCCAGATTTTGGAAAGAGAATCTTGGTGTTTCAGAGAGCTCAGGTTCTAAGAAAATTTGTGAACACTATATATTTAAGATTTAAATAGGGAACTTATAATTTAAGGTGATGGAGTGAATACCCATGTTTACTCCTCTTCCCCACTGCTAAGATTCTATTGAAATTTTATTGTGAAAAAATAATTAGAGGAGATAAATCTCTAAAAGTTCTGTAAAAAATGGTAGGGGTATAGATTTTCCAACTTGAAGATAAAAGCTGGTGTGATTATAATGAATGACAGATGAAAGTAGAGAAGTCCACATCCCAGAATATGCGTAGGAGAAGGTCAGCCTTGGAGATGCGAGCCCTTCTCTCCTGCGTTGTCATGGAGATGCTCCAGGCTTAGAGTTGGCAATAAAAGCAAGAATGAGTTGGAGAGAGTAATGAGGACAATTAAATAAAGACTATTTAGGAGCAGCTGGGTCAGCTGAACCTTCCCAGCACTTCAAATCATCTTATACCTTCCATTCTACCTTCACACACATAGCAATGGCACCGAAAACATTTGTTCCCCAGTTCTTTTGGACTGCCTGCTTCAGTTGAGTTTAAGGATCTTACTATGCCTCAGAACAATCTTTTCTTATATTGGCATTTTTTTTTATGTGGAGAGGAGAGGGAGGCCAGACTGTGCCCGCTTAACAACAATACAACTTGAAGTTAAGCTTGTCGGCCAGGATGGCCTACTCACATGTACAGAAGTTATAGTTAGCCCTCCCCAAGTAGGGAGAACCTTCTTAGGAAAACAGACCTGCATACAAGAAGCCCGTGTGGACTCTGTACAGGCAGACCTCACTTCATTGCACCTTGCTTTATTGTGCTTTGCAGATACTGCCTTTTTTACAGATTGAAGGTTGGTGGCTACCTTGTGTCGAGCAAGCTTGTCAGCACCATTTTTCTAACAGTGTGTGCTCGCTTCATGTCTCTGTCTCACATTTTGGTAATTCTCACAATATTTCAAACTTTATATCTGTTAGGATCTGTGATCAGTGAGATTTGATGTTCCTATTGTCATTGTTTTGAGGCACCATGAACCATGCCCACATATGACAGTGAATTTAATGTGTATGTTCTGCTGCTCTGTTTCCCCATCTCTCCTTATCCTTGGGCCTCCTTATTCCCTGAGACACAAACAATAGTGGAATTAGGCCAATTAATAACTCTACAATGGCCTCTAAGTGCTCAAGTGAAAGGAAGAGTTGCATGTCTCAAAGCTAGACCACTTGCACCAGTTGTGAATGCAAAGGAAAAATTATTGAAGAAAATTATAAGTGATACTCCAGCGAACGCACAAATAAGAAGAAAACAAAACAGCCTTGTTGCTCATATGAAGAAAGTTTTAGTGGTCTGGATAGAAGATCAAACCAGATACAGCATTCCCTTTAGGCAAAGCCTAATCCAGAGCAAGGCCCTAACTCTTCAATTCTATGAAGGCTAAGAGGTGAGGAAGCTGCAGAGGAAAAGTTGGAAGCCAGCAGAAGTTGGTTCAAGAGGTTTAAGGAAAGAAGCTGTCCCCATAACGTGAGTGCAAGGTGAAGCAGCAGGTGCTGATGCAGAATCTGCAGCACGTTATTCAGAAGATCCAGCTAAGATCATTGAGGAAGGGGCTACACTAAACAACAGACCTTCAATGTAGATGAAACAGCCTTCTATTGGAAGAAAATGCCATCTGGGACTTTCATAGCTAGAGAGTAGTAGTCAGTGTCTGGCTTCAGACTTCAAAGGACAGCCTGACCCTCTTCTTAGGGGCTAATGCAGCTGGTGACTTTAAATAAAGCCAGTGCTCATCTACCATTCTGGAAGTTCTAGGGCCCTTAAGAATTATGATAAATCTACTCTGCCTGTGCTCTATAAATGGAACAACAAAGCCTGGATGGACAGCACCTCTGTTTACAGCAGGGTTTACTGAATATTTTAAGCCCACTGATGCCTAGCGTATTTTAATTCATTTTGCCAGTTTCTGCTCAGGAAAAATAGATTCCTTTCAAAATATTACCACTTGTTGACAATGCATTTAGTCACGCAAAAGCTCTGATGAAGATGTACAAGGATTAATATTGTATTCATGCCTACTACACAACATCCATTCTGCAGCCATGGATCAAGGACTGATTTCAACTTTCAAGTCTTATTTAAGAAATACATTTCTTAAGGCTACAGCTGCCATAAATAGTGATTCCTCTGATGGATCTTGCCAAAGTAAATTGAAAACCTGGAAAGGATTCACCATTCTAGATGCCATTGAGAATATTCATGATTCATGAGAGGAAGTCAGAATATCAACGTTATCAGAAGTTTGGAAGAAGTTAATTCCAAAAAAGATACCTAGAATTTGATGACAAAACAACTCCTGGATTTTAAAAAGTATATAACCACCAAGTTGAGAAAATTTATTTACTTTAAGCCATTATCTAATTCTTACCATGAATATAAAATCCATTACATTATTGCTGTGCAAAAGAAATGTAATGCAAGCCACATGTAGTTTTTAATTTTCTGACAGCCAATTTAAAAGTAAAAGAAACAATGAAATTAATTTTAATATTTTTTATTTAATCCAGTATATCCAAAATGCATTTCAATATGTAATTGATATAAAAATTACTAATGGGGTATTTTACATTCATTTCTTACCCCAGGTCTTTGAAATTCAGTGTGTACTTTAGACCTACAGCATATCTCAATTCAGACTTCCCACATGTCAAGTGCTCGATTAGCCACATGTGGGTTACACCTATGATATGACAGTGCAGATTAGGAGGTTTAAAATGGAATCTGTAAACTTATGGGCCTCCTTAACCTCAGTAAGTGACCTTTCTAGGGGTCATTCTCTTATTTCCCTCTTTCTTACTCTCCGCATCAGTTAGCCACTTAGTTCTGCCGGCTTTTATCTTTTAAAATTTTGCAAATCTCTTTCTCTCCTACCCTACCATTGCCCCAGTTTCAGGACTCATCATTTCTTACCTGGACTATTGGAGTAACCTCTCAACTGGTCTGCCTGTGCTTTGCCCCCTATAAGTTCATCTTCTATTTTGTAGTGAGAATCTCTGCCTTACTGAAAATCTCACTATGTTATTCCCCCATTTAATGCCATTTAGTAGTTTCACAGTATTTCAATAGCAGTCTTTGAGGTAAGTTCCCTGTACCACAAGGGGTATACAAATTATTATTTGGAAATGTAGGGACAAGAAAGTAGACATCTATCCTTTTCTCATCTTATTTTGAAAAGCGTATGTTTAGTGTCTATATCTTAATGTACTAAGACAGTAGAACATGTAAGTAATTTATCAATAAATACTATAATTGTCCTGATGGAATATGAAGTCCAGATTCCTTTGCATAGTATTTAAGGGCCTGGCCCCTTATCTACCTTTTTGCCTCATCTCTTCCTTTTACTTTATATTCTGGTAGCACTGCACTGTCTGTTTACAAGCCTTTCACGTACATTATTTGTTTCACTCTTCCATGTGTTCACTGCTGCTCATTCTCCTGCCTGGATAACCTCACTGACTTCCTTTACTTAACTCTTACTCCTTGTTCATAGCCCTCCTCCAGCAAGTCTTCTTCCTCTAGGTTAAACTAGATGTCTCTTTTCCCGGTGCCCATAGAACATTGTGAATAACTCTGACGTGGCACTTACCTTATTATATTGGAATTATCTGTCGTTACGTGTCTGTTCTGTCTCTCTGTCAACCCCCAAGACTCATATTGAGGGAAAGGATTTTTGCTTTAGTTTTTGTACTTCTGGTACCTAATACAGTTATCAGCATATAGTTGGTACTCGGATATTAGCAGAACTAAACTGAACCCCAGAAAATTTTAATGATTAAGTTATCAATGTTTAAGCTTAGGCATTAACCAACTTTAAAATAACCGGAGACTTAGATCTAATATTAATACCAATGACCTGCAATTAAAAAATGGGTAGATAAATAAAACTGAGAATAGTGATACTTTTAATTTCAGGAAAAATAAACTAATGTACATAGGATATAAAAATGTTAGTATTGACTAGTACATAAGCTCTACAAGGACAAGGTTTTTGTCTTTTTTCACTGATTTATTCCAAACTCTGTAACAGTATCTGACACATAATAATAACTGGTCAGTAAATATTTGTTGAGTAAATGATATACACAGAAAAGCATGCTGCATAGCTTCATACTTTATTAGGCTCTTAAGGCAAAAATTAACTTTAAAAACATTTTCTCTTCTCTGTTCAATTTAAGTTTTGACCTCTTGAAGCAAAAATTGTATTTACTCTCTTGTATTATCTTACAGAGGTTTGTAAAGGAAGTCTCTAAGTACAATGGAATATAATTTTTTTTTCCCTTCTAGTAAACGAAGCAAAAAAGGAGATAAAAATGGAAAAGGCTTGAGACATTTTTCAATGAAAGTGTGTGAGAAAGTTCAGCGGAAAGGTACAACATCATATAATGAAGTAGCTGATGAGCTGGTATCAGAGTTCACCAATTCAAATAACCATTTGGCAGCTGATTCGGTAGGTAGATCATGAACTTGACGTTGATTATGGTGAGTGAGGCTACAGTTTACCTCTGACTTGTTTCTCTCATAGATTTAAAGAATCTGATAAGCTAGGGAATCCTCAACTCCTTTACTTGATGGTTTCGTATTGGAAATTTGGGGGATTTTGTTGTTGATTTTTGTTTTGTTTTGGAAATAATTCTTTTATTATTTAAACAAAAATAAATATCTTAAAAATATAATTTTGGAGGTTACTGAAGGAACTTTTTTTTTTTTTTTACATTTTTTACATTTGGTCACTTATTCATTGCTTCTTGGCCTCTTGGCTAAGGTCAAGTGTGGTCATTTATTCAATGAGTTTGTGTTTCTGAATCTTAAATGTTTCTTCAGTGTCTAATGTTGCTTTGCCTTACATGGGATGATGAAGTTTCAAAAAGGATTACTCAAAGCCCATTTCTTCTGAGCAGTGAGACACCCCAAAGGGGTTAACTTCCCAGAACCCTCAAGAGAGAGGCATTCCTCCTTGGGAAATTAACCATGACTGGGGTTCTCTCCCTGTATTTATTCTCCAGACCAGGAAGTTACAGGAAAGGAACATAAGTGGAGGTATGGCTAAGTATAGTTTAACAATAGAAGCTGGTAACATTAGTGAACTAACAAAGTGAAATTCCATAATGCAGTTTGCAAAAGTTTAAGTTGATACACCGACAAAAGCTTGTTCTTAGCAAATACTGTTTTTGTACAACAGTTTCCTCAGTGTTTTTACATAACAATAATGCAACTTTCTTAACATATCAATCAGTAGGTTAACCTGCTCTCAAGGATGTCTGTCCTTGAGAGCCAGCAATTTTGCTGTGTTACAATTCTTTAGCTATACCAGAGACTTTAACCTGGGGAAAGTTTCCTGTCTTTTGCAAGGTTAACATTTCTAGATGTAATTTTTAAAAGTTAGGTTATACCTGAAACTACAGGGCTTTGGAAACTATGCCCTGTAAAATACATTTGCTTTATAAATGTTAGTATATTCCACAGTCTAAGTCAACAAGAATGATTATTAAAAAATCCATTGTCCAAAAGAGCATATAATAAAACATATGACCCTTCTGTCAAAGACTCCAATTTACCCTCCAAAGGTAATATTCACTGTTGCCAGTTTCTTGAATATCATTCCAGAAATTTTTTAGACATACACACGATAAAATTTATTTCCGTTTTTATTTTAAACACAAAAGTCATTATGCTTTACATGCTGCATTCTATTCTGTCTTGTTTTTGTTTTGTTGGTGGCTGGCCAGTACAGGGATCTGAACCCCACTCTAACCGACTGAGCTAACCGGCCGGCCTCATGCTGTATTCTTAATTTTATTTTCTTAATATATCTTGGAGTTTTGTTCATTTTTAGCACACAGAAGTAATCCTCATTTTTTTCAATTGAGATAAATTACAGGGAGTGAAACTTATGTGACAACATACAATTATTTTTTCCTTATTTAGTGATGAATAGTTTACATGGAATAAGATGTATTTAAGTATAAAATTAGATGAGTTTTGATGCTTATGTGCACCTGTGAAACAACTACCAGTCAAGACACAACATTTCCATCACCTAAAGGTTCCTCCTGCCTTTTGTAGGCCATCTCTCTCTCTGCCTCCATCCCCAAGCAACTACTAACCTGCTTTTTGTCACTAAAAATCAGTTTACTCTTTATTTAAATGTAGTCATATGTACTGTACAAAAATTTTAAGTAAAAGTAGTAACTTTAGTCATTTTAGGTCTTTAATTCTTAATTTTTGGGTGGGGGGTGGGGGTGGCTGGCTTGTGCAGGCATCTGAACCCTTGACCTTGGTGGTATCAACACCACTCTCTCTAACCAATGGAGCTAACCAGCCACCCCCTTTACTTTAAATCTTTGTGGCTATGATTCTTCTGTTTGAGCACTGACTTAGCCCATTCCATTCTCTAATATATTGTACTTTAGATATTCTGTAACCTCAATTTTAATTTCCTCTTTCCTTTTTTTTTTTTTTCCCCTGACTGGTATAGGGATCCGAACCCTACCAATAACTTCCTCTTTGACCTAAGAACTTTTTCTAATGCAATTCTTATAGTCCCAGGTGATAAGGATTTTTGTTTGTTGTTATAAATTTTTACTTTTATTACCAGTAACTAGAGAATATGAGTTGAACCATTTCTATTTTTTTGGATTGCATTGAGATTTTTCTTGTGAGCTATTGTATTGTGATTATTTTTCTTTTAATGTTCTCTGGGCACTTGATAAGGAAGTATATAGTATTCTGATTCTGAGCGAAAGCCAAAGTTCTCACAGTGATCTACAAGCCCCTCTATGATCTGTCCCACCATTACCTTGCTGATTTCATCTTCTGTGCACTCCCTCAGTTACTGCCCTCCAGCCACACATTTTGTGACTCTGCCAGATATATCCCTGATCAGGCCGTTGTACTTGCTGTTTCCTTTGCCTACAACACTCATTGCTGGGTATTCGTATGTCTTCTCTCTCCCCCGCTTCTAATCTTCACCCAAATGTCACTAGAATGAGGCATTTCTTTTTTTTTTTTTTCCTTTTTGTCTTTTTTCGTGACCGGCAACGGATCGCAACCCTCAGTGTCGCGCCCGTACCGGACCGGGACCGGCAACGGGATCGCAACCCTCGGTGTTGCGCCCGCACCTCGCTCAGCCAGTGAGCCGCCGGTCTGTATGTGGGATCCGAACCCTCGGCGGGAGCGCCAAGCAGCACACTGTAGCAGTGCGCCACCGGGCCAGCCCCTAGAATGAGGCATTTCTTCTTGGCACTTTTCAACATGTAACATAACATTTTTATTAATCCCCTACCACCACCCCTAAAATATAAACAAAGGTTGGATTTTTTTTCTGTTTGTTCACTGCTGTGTTATTTTTCTCATTTGGAAGGCTCGTAGTCTGTATTTATTTAGTTGGTTATCTTAATAACTTTAAGTAACATACTTAATATTTTTTTTTGGAGTTATCACCTGTAGACAGTATCTGTTGATTGTGGAGGGAAACAGAAGTAAGTGCACTTATGTTTATTCCCATCTCCCATCTTTTTCCTCTTTCATAGGATTCAGATTGTCTGGATTAGTAGTTGCTAAAAGAATATTATTATTGTAGTTGTTTATAAATAGATTGTCCTGAAACCTCTATTATTACTTAATCTGCTTTGAACAGTAACTATATCTCTTCCAATATCAAGAAGAGGAAATCATCATACCTATCTTATTGCCATCTCCTGATATTTGTTATATTATCATTTCTAGTGTAAGGATTTCTTTTCTTTCTTTCTTTTTTTTTTTTTTTTTTGGGGCCGCTGGTACGGGGATCTGAAAACCCTTGACCTAGGTGTTACAACACCACATTCTAACCAACGGAGCTAACTGACCAGCCTTGGGATTTCTAATATTTACATTTAATTCTATAACTTAAATTTCCCATTTACTTAGGTTTAGTTTTATATTTAGATGGATTCAGCTTTCTCTACCATTCTTTATTATCGTGGCATTTGATTGATTGGATTTTGTACTTAGGAACTGCCTGTCCACAATAATATAAGGACCTTCCTCCACAATGTAAGTCAATACAGTGTCCCTCATTGAGAAAGTCTTGCTGCCCAGACAATAAAGGTCAACTGAACTAATAGTGTACCTAGTGATGATATATGTGATTACATTCTGGTGCAAGTTCTTGTTCTCATTGTAGACTAGAAACAGTTTGTGGATAGCACATCGGTCCATGTACCACATTTGGAGAAACACAGTTTTTCCTAGAGCTTAAAAACACGGATCCTTGATATTTTACAGTCTAAAATCCTCCCAGACAATGCCAGGTCTTATAGAACACTTTACCTCCACTACCCCTTTCTGACACACTACACACTATTGTCAGGTATATTAGCTCTGTATATATTCTAAACTCCATAAAACATTATTATTATTTTATACAGTGAGTACTAATTGAGATTTACCCACACATTTAATTTTCGAGTTGGTTTTCATTCTGTCCTACATCTCTAAGCTTCTGTCTTAGATGATCTTTCTTCTACCTGAAGAAATCCCTTTAGTATGTTTTAATATAGACCTGTTGGTAACATAATCTTTATTTTTAGGATTGTTTTATGTTTTGTATTATCTGAAAGTATGTTTATTTCATCTTTAATTTTGAAGGATTCGCGGGTGCTGAATTCTTTCAGCACCTTGAAGATATAATAATAATATAATTAATTTAATATATTAATATAATGTGACTATATCTTACCCTTAAAATTTATCACTCAATAGAAATATTTTTTAGCAGGCTTATGATCAGAAGAACATTAGGCGAAGAGTTTATGATGCTTTAAATGTGCTAATGGCAATGAACATAATTTCAAAGGAAAAAAAAGAAATCAAGTGGATTGGCTTGCCTACCAACTCTGCTCAAGAATGTCAAAATCTGGAGGTAAATAAGAAAATCTGTTTATAGATAGTACTTTGCGTCAGAGGCATTTTAATTTATAAACATAATGACATAATATTAAAATATTCCCGATTGTTTGTGTATGCTATGTCAGTTAACAGACTCTCTATATAGAATTTTAGAAAATTGAAAGGAGCTTTAGAGGTATATTATAATAGTCAGTTTTCTGTTGCTTATAACAGAATACTGAAACTGGATAATTTATAAGAAAACGAAACTTATTTCTTATAGTTTTGGAGACTGGGAAGTCCAAGGTCCAGGGGGCACATCTGGTGAGGGCCTTCTTGTTGGGGACTCTTTATAGAGTCCCATAGAGATGCAGGGTATCACATAATGAGGTCTGGGTAAAAATGCTTGTTAACATGATCACTTACTTTCCTTATATAGCCACCAGTCCACACCCATGATAACCCATTAAGCCATTAACCCATTACTCCATGAATGGATTAATCGATTCATGAGAGCACAGTCCTCACAATCCAATCACCTCTTAAAGGCCTCACCTTTCACTACTGCCACATGAACTTTGGAGTGGATATTCAGATAATAGCATATAGTCTGCAGTTTATTTTTGTAAGTGATAAAACTGTGACATAAAAGTTAAATGACTTGATTTGATTTTTATTGTTTCTCACAGAAGATCTTTGTTTCATTCTAATTTAATTCTGAGTTCTAATAAGTTTTAGGTGAAGCATGTATTAGAAATGTTATTTGATGATGAAGTGCTTCCTATATGGATCCAGAAAAATGGTTCAAGTTAGCTATTTATTTCCTGTGTTGGTTACACAGTATCCTAAATATATCCGAGAAAGTCAAACTTTTACCTTTGACACTAGAATCAGTAGAACAGGATAATATTTCATTTGTTTCTTTATCAGAATGGATATAGTGTTCAGCGTACATGAACTTTGGAATGATGTGTGCAGAACATTTTTAACTCTGTTAACTGTAAGCATTATAGAAAGTCTTCCCTAAATGAGCTTGTTCACTGACATGTGTTTCTAAACTGGTTTGATAAAATTTTACTATCATAGGGGCCGGCCCGGTGGCGCACTCAGTAGAGTGCGGCGCTTGGGAGCGCGGGGGCGCTCCCGCCGAGGGTTCGGATTCCATATAGAGACCAGTCCGCTCACTGGTTGAGCGCGGTGCGGGCGCGACACCGAGGGTTGCGATCCCGTTACCGGTCACGAAAAAAGACAAAAAAGGAAAAAAAAAAATTACTATCATAGTTATAAATGGAGTAGACTGAGGTTAAATATGGCTTTTGGAGATAATTAAGGTTGATTTCATGTTTTTCTCAGTTCCTTTTTTCCCAGAAAATAAAAAATTGTTTGGTATTATTATACTTGTGGAGGGGGAAAATCGGACATTCATTAGATGTTATAGAATAATGTTATTCATATACCAGAGTAGAAATGTCCTCCTTTTCTCATTTGTCTTCCTTCTAACAGTGGAATTTGAACATCATTTTAATGACTTGTAATATTAGCTGATACCAATGACTCATTAAGCAAAAACCTATGAGCATCTACCATGTGCTTACAGGTTATACAAGACCAAATCTCTGACCCCAAGGAACTGTCATTCTAAATCGGGAGAGGAGAAATGTAAAAGAATACCAAAAATGTGATTACTCCTATGAAAGAAGCGTGTACAGATTATCCGGAAAGAGGGGCAAGGGAGGGCTTTACCAAGGAAATAATCCCTGAGCTCAGTCGTGAGGGAGGAGTAGGAGGCTGCCTCTGTTTCCTTACATGCAAAGTGGATAACAATAGTACTTACCTCATAAGGTTTTTGTGAAGATGAATTAAAATAATGTAGGTAAAGTGCTTAGGTGAGTGCTGGCATGTACTATCACTTTGACTGGGACAAGAACTGCATGCCAGGTATTCATTAAGTGGATCGACTTCATTTTTGATGACAGTTGCCACAATTCTGCTGCTGTGCTTGCTTGCTCGCCCCAGCCCCTGTCCTCCCAAAAGGTGTGATTTGCCTTTACTCATGTCACTGGCTACAATGGGCTGAGTTTCTCTAAGGAAAGTTCTTGGTATCTCAGAACAGGGGCTTGAAAAGTGAGCAGTACTTTATATTCTACATATGTTCATGTTTTTTGTAACCTGCATTTTAAAGATAGAGAAGCAGAGGCGGATAGAACGGATAAAGCAGAAGCGGGCTCAGCTGCAAGAACTTCTCCTACAGGTAAAGATGCTGGGATGTTTTCATTCCCTTCCCTGCCTGTAGTCTCTTTCTGCACTTACTTGCTTTTAGAGTCAGTCTGTTTTTTAGTTGTGGGGTCTTTGAGTAGTGTCTGGTGGGACCACACCAGGGCAGCCTCCCCCACATCCTTGCTCATTGCTATATGCATGCTCTTCCTTTAAGATGTTCCATCTCTCACCATCATCCCAGCCCCATGGCAGCTTACCTGCCCTGCATGTGACTCATACTATGCAACAGTTCACTTTTGATGCTTATCCTTACTCTGAACATAACAATCAGGAGTCTTTGTATTTGTTTATTTTAGCCCTAATTTGGAATATCAAATAGTAAAGCTAGTTAAATTTTAGGTGCTTTAAGTAAAACAATCAAATCTACCTGTAATACCTATTATCAGTAAATGACATGAAATGATTCGATAAGATTTATAGAAATCCCCAAAACCTAAAATGCATTTCTATTTTAGAAAAATAAATTTTATAGTTTGATAAGATCCCTGTGTTTATACTTTTTCAGATAATTGTCTAGAATTTGGAAGATTTTTTTTAAAGTATAATAGAGCCCTTGTTGGGTAAAAATCACAGGGGAGATGGACTTACTTTTTTTTTTTTTCTCTATTTTTTATAATTCTAGTTGGTGTAAAAATTTACTTCAAGCAGTGAGTACAGTTGTGCCATTTTCAGTCCAACCAGATAAACTTTTAAAAATGAGCCAGAGAGACCTTATGCTTCTGTTTTTCTCAGAAAAATGTCTTTATATGAAAAGCTTTACAACCAGTCATAAAATCCACTTTGATTTGAATGAGGTCCTATTTAACTTTTGGTGGGATCCACTTTTCAGAAATAAAGGTAGCAATAGGTTAACAAATACCATAGCAGGTTTTTTCCTTCAGTATTCACTTTGTCTAATGGCCAGAATATGTTGTGTTCTTAAATATTCCAGATGACTTTTGTTTTTCACTTTTCTAGATGCTTATATTTGCTTTGGGGTTTTTGTGTGTTTTTTCACATTCATGTATGTGAGGCAAGAGGAGAGAGGCAAGCGGAGACAGTTTAGCCCTTCCAGAGATTCTGCGGATGATCTGAGAGTAGGAAGTAGGAAAGAAAGCAGGCCACGGGCAGAGGAGTAGCTACAGATAAAGTGGAGACTTTGCGAACACAGGAAGCCCCAGAAGTGATGTTCCATCCAGATTAGGTCTTTTCTTTGTTTCTACCCCGTGGGACCTACCTGAGGAGCTACCACTGGCGCAGGCATTTTATGTATTTTCCGTATTGGGTTTCCAAATAAGGTTTTGTTTGAAGAGAATGTTCTGCAGCCTTAAAAAAAAAAGTAGAAAGCTGACAGTTTATTCCTCTGCTCCTCCCTATAGAATTCTGCCAGGTGCTCCTCCTCTAACTCCTAGGCTGTCATCTTCCCCCAGCTGCCTCTCTTTTTGACATGTCCCTGCACAGTTACCTGCAATATTCCCTACCAGCTCATAGTCTCTAAACCTTGTGCTGGGGCCTTCCTGAAATTTCCTCAAAACCTTTACGGAACATTTTGGAGCTTGATCTTTTTGGCGTATGTTATTAAAAACCTGTTTATCAGCATGCCTAGAATTATCTGTTTGCTTATTAGAAAGAATGGTGACAAGCAAGATTGCGCTCATATATGTGGGACTTTCACATCTTTAAGATGCCAGCAAAGGGAACGAAGTCAAATATTTTTTCTCTGCTTATCTTTGTAAAATGAACATTGTACTGGTATTTTATTAAGTCATAAATTTCTTTTCTTTTACTGTCTCTCAAGCCAAATATATTTATAGAAGATTTCAACCTGGGGGTAACCTAGCTGTTAATATTTGTAGAAGCAGGTCTGTCTAAGCATTAAAATGAAACCCAAAGTATAACTGAAGACAACTTCTTATCTTCCGGCAGACATGTACCTTATTTCCTCCTATTGTTTCATTTTTCTTTCTTTCATCAAATGACATTTATGAAATTGTCATAGAAAGTAGATTAAACAAGTTGTCCCTGAACACTAGTAATTTGCCATGGCTAAACTAGCTTGATTTTTTAATAGGTTAATTTCAGAATGCACTGATGTCACTTGACAGAGGTTAATTATTACCTACATGTCACCATCTCTCTTTTATCCTTGGTAATTTAGGAGAGCAATGGTATAAGTTATACCTATAGATAATCCGTATACCCTACTTTTATCTATGTAATTGTCCCTTCCAGCCCTTAAACCTTTTCCAGAGCCACTAATGCATAGCAGATTGAATGTCTGAACACTCTTAAAACTGTTTAGCCTCTGGAATAGATATTAAGGAGTCTGAGGAAGAAGAAAGGGCTGAAGGAAATCAATCAAAGGGCAGCACATGAGGAAATCAGTTCAAAATAAATGGGAGGTCAGCCGCCAAAAACAAACAAACAAAAAAGGGCTGGCCGGTTAGTTCAGTCAGCTAAAGCACAGCCTTACAGCATCAAGGTCACAGGTTCAGATCCCCATACTGGCCAGCCACCAAAAAAAATAAATAAATGGGAGGTGATTTTTCTTTTTACTGTCAAAATAACATGTTTTTACTGCTTTTGTTCACCTAAAAGATCTTTGATGCTATTAAATGTACATAATGTTAAACAATGAATCATAAATATGTAAGGACTCTTACCACTTCATATTCCCCCATATACTGAGGTCCTCCCATGGCACTAGGGCCACAAAGCTAAGCAAAGTATGGAAACAGCTCCTGAGATGTGTATTCTAGTAGACGGGAAGAGAAACTAGTTAGAAATATTACATATACTTCTTTTTCTTAATTCTATAGCTTCAGCATATTTTTTCCTTTAGTATTAAGTGAAATCAAGCAATGAATATAACATAGCCTTAGTTCTTTAGCAAGAGAAGGTAATGAAGAAATATAACTTAAATAATGTTTGATAATGATAAATGGTGATGGTTTTTCAGTAGTAATTGATACTGATAGTGATTTTGGGACACACACTGTTAGGGCTGGAATAAATTGGTGTCTGTTTTGTTTGCACCTTTTAAAAGAGTAAATGTTCACTTTCCAGGGAGATAGCACTCAGCCATTTTAAGATAATAGTAATCTTAATCAAACTTTAGTTAAGGCTGAGAACCTGAAATAAATAATTCTGAGCATAAGATTGCTAAGATAGAGAAAATAACTTGAGTTCATCACTACTGGGAAAGAAGATATGACAAGCTGATGAAAGGGAAGGAATGGCTCTGACTTCAAGAACTTCTAAAACCATTATTTCATGAGCAGATGAAAACTTGAACTGCGTAAGGTCTTTCTAGCTATAAAAATTCTGTGATCTATTCATCCAGTTTTAAAAAGGTAAGGTCACTTTCTTTGGCTTTTGAGTAGTGGTTATACCTGAAAGTAGTAGCCAGATTCAACATAAAGATTCAGGCCTTGATAGAGCTTACAATCAATTCTTAGCCTTAGTTTCCTTATCTGGAAGATGTCAGCGGGGGAAAGGCTCAGGCTGGATTTCAAATTATGCCTTAGGAATGCCGAGAAGTTCTGTGGAGCTGCCTTAGAAACAAACCACTGTGGTGGTGAATGAGGCCAGAGCCGGCAGGTTGCAGGACTCGAGCCCCAGCCAGAGCAGTGCTGCTTCCATCTGTTTTATATAGTAGGTGTCTCATGATTTTTTTTTTCTTTTTTTGTGACTGGCCAGTATGGAGATCTGAACTCTTGACCTTGGTGTTACTAGTGAGCTAACTAGCCAGGTCCCCATGAGATTTCAAAGAAAGTGTTCTGTGGCTTTAAAATATTTTCACATCCCTGGGCTAGATGATCTACGAGGTATATTTGACCCTAAACTCCCAGGAGTCTCTATTAGATAAATGTAAAATGGTGTTACTCTTGCTGTTTCACTCTAAGACTTGCAGGTGCCATTGGGCTCTCTTCCAGATTTGTGCGATCCTGTTTCTATGGACGATGGAAACCATGGACCCCATTTTTTTACATTAGGATGGTGTTAGACACCATATAAATGTGTATCTTTTCCCTGTAATGTATTTATTTAGTTGGATCATTCTAATCTTAAGAAAAAAGATTAGAAAAAAGAAAAAAATGTTTAATGTTTTATTGATTCATTAGTATAGGTGGGATGCCTCTTTAAACTCTCTAATTTTAGACTATTTTATATGTTTTACCTTAATTCATTTAAATTCCAACTGACTTAGCCACATTAAATGATCATTTCTTTTTATTGATCATTACAGCAAATTGCTTTCAAAAACCTGGTACAGAGAAATCGGCAAAATGAACAACAGAACCAGGGCCCTCCAGCTCTGAACTCCACCATCCAGCTACCATTTATAATCATCAATACAAGCAGAAAAACAGTCATAGATTGCAGCATCTCCAGTGACAAGTGAGTGGAGAACTAGGAGACGGGTACAGGGTTGGCCTTCTTTTAACATATTTCTGTCATTTGCAAAATAAAGGAGGATGCACTCCATTATCTGCAGCCCTCCAAGGCTGGCTTCCTTGGGGCATGTGAAACACCTCCTCAGATCTGGGTGCTATCACCTACCAGTGTGAGCTCCATTACTCACCCTTCGCAGTCCCCTGTCTTGTGCCAGGCACTGTGCTGCCTGTGTTATATGTTAGCAGTGCCTGGGCCCAAGCTATGATGTACTAGGTGTATGTGGCAACTCTGAGCAAGTAACTACAATAAGTTAGACTATCACTGAGGGTCTGGGACAATGTAAGTTCATTGGTGATTCATTATCATAGTTTATTATGGGAACATTTTAGATTAACATGGGGCATTAAAGCAACTATTTGTTTTGCTATGTTATAGTTATGTATGCTTCTATTAGTGAATGAATGAATAGATGTGAAAATGCTGGGCATGTTCTTTGTTTTTCTTTCTTTAATGAATTTTTTTTTTTACATTTTAACTAAGATTGATGATAATATTCATCATAGCAAGTGAGAAGGAGCACTATTCAAAATACAGGATTAATTTGTAATTTATTTTACCATTCACGAAAAAGTTTGTATCAGTGGTCTTCAGGTTGTAACCAGTGTCATGAGAGACTTAAGGGTATATGTGGCTCCCTTACTTAACTGCTCCAAAGTTCTGTTTCTGAAGAACAAATATGAATGATACCAGGGCCACTATTACTTCCTAGCCTTGTTGTGAGGATTAAATGAGATAATGCTTGTAAAGGGTCTGACTCAAGGCAAGTGCTTTACAAGTGTTAGCTGGTATTAAAGAGGTCAGCATATAATTTATTATCCGAATTGGGGTACTTATGAAAGCAAAAGAAGACTCTCTTAATAATTACCTCAGTCGGGCCGGCCCGGTGGCACACTGGAGAGTGCGCCGCTTGGGAGTGCGGCGGTGCTCCCACCGAGGGTTCGGATCCCATGTGGACACCGGTTCCCGCTCACTGGCTGAGCGCAGTGCGGGCGCAACACCGAGGGTTGCGATCCCGTTGCCGGTCCCCGGGACGGGCCCGACCCTGAGGGTTGCGATCCCGTTGCCGGTCCCCGGGACGGGCCCGACCCTGAGGGTTGCGATCCCGTTGCCGGTCCCCGGGACGGGCCCGACCCTGAGGGTTGCGATCCCGTTGCCGGTCCCCGGGACGGGCCCGACCCTGAGGGTTGCGATCCCGTTGCCGGTCCCCGGGACGGGCCCGACCCTGAGGGTTGCGATCCCGTTGCCGGTCCCCGGGACGGGCCCGACCCTGAGGGTTGCGATCCCGTTGCCGGTCCCCGGGACGGGCCCGACCCTGAGGGTTGCGATCCCGTTACCGGTCAGTAAAAAAGACAAAAAAAAAAAAAAAGGAATAATTACCTCAGTACTATAGGCATACCTCATGACTATCCCAGGGAGCCCAGGAGATCTGGTCTCCATAGAGCTACAGCGAGGTTAAAGCCCTTGGGCTTTACCACCTCTTGTTTTTCCCACTCTTTTCTCTGGCAGTGTTGCTTTCAATGTCTGTTGCATACAGAGATTCTGGGTCACTTAAATAAGAAGGCATATACACACACTCAAAAGAAGAACAGGAAAAGGAAAAATAGTAAGCAGGAATTTCAAAACAATTTCATCATTGAGACTGTAGACACAATAAGAAGTAGTAGAGACTGCGTAGACTTTGGAGTCACCTGGGTCCATTTTTCAATTTTCTAAGTTTCTTAGCCTCTGTGAGATTTCATCTCTTGCTCCACAAAAATAAGAATTATAATATTTACCTTGCCATTTTACAAAAGTTATAAAGGACCCAGCTCAGTGGTCAATAAATAGTAGTTGTCTGAATTACTAGTTATGCACTTGCAAATTCTTCATAAAAACCTATGTTTAAGACAACTGTTAACATATTCTCAGAAAACTGAGAATTCTAGAAAGTGGTTAACATCTTTTCAGATAAAAAGGAATCAGTATTTTGGTTACTCTCTCTAGTTAGTCTCTTGTTTTGTGCGGGGTATTATAAAATTCTCTTCTTAGGTTAGTCTTTAAGTCTAAAAAGGATGACAGGAAAATTTTGGAACCATTGGACTAGGGGAATTATGGATAATTTTCACCCCAAGCTGGGATCTAGTAAGGTTTCCATCCCTTGGGTGGTCACTGACTCATGCCATTTCCTGGCCCTCCCCTGCGTGGAGGGAAGGAGGCTCTGAGCAGCTTGTAAGAGCTTGTTATTCAAGGTAGGTCCAAAAAACATGTCTTTCAGCTACTTGGTGATGCAACCTTTCCCCTTAATTAGCCAGGAGGCTTTCCCACAACGAGGATTAGATTTACAAAACCATCTGCTTTTAACAGATGCCAGAAATCAACCCTGTGGCAGGTACCCACTTCAGTTTTTTTGTATTTTCTGAAAATTTGTTAATTATTTTATTCAAATTCATATACTTCAGATTATATAAATATAGCAGTTTGCTTCAGATTCTAATTTTTGCCCTGATGTAAGATTTATCATAAAAAATTTCACCCTCACATGATTTTAATAGAATTTCATGACAAAGTAAAACCCACCATTGTCCCAGAACATACATCTGAACTCTGTCCCTGCAGGGCTGAGGCCTGTGGCTAAAGCTGCCCCAGCCCCTACCTAGCCTAGGAGTCTGAAGGACTGTGTCTTCCTGTGTTCGCCTCTTAATGGAAAGGTTGTGGTGGACAACTGGGCATCCAGATTGGGTACTTTGGAAGAACATTGGGAAATGTGCTGTATATATTGTATGTGACATTTTTTTCTTAAGACATTTCAATCCTTAGCCCCTCAAGACAGGATTCGGGCATTGGTTTAGTTTGTTAGGTCTTCCATTTATTGCTTATCTAAAGTATGCTGTAGCTAACACTTGGCTCATAAAAATGGAGTAAGCATTCAAAATGTCTTTTTCCTCAAAACTAATACGCCAACTTATAATACAGGTATCATGTATTAAACTAGGGAGGCTTTCCTTTTGTGGCAAAGCTGTAGACAACTTTGAAAAGCGTTGGATTTAGAACAAAATTTCTGTCTCCCGTTTGCAGCAGCGTTAGGGCTGAAGTTTATGGATTCCTATTGTCTGTCACAGGAAAGTTGTTTCAATTGGCAGAGTGGCTTATTTGAGATGTCATTCCCCTGAACACAGCAGTACACTCCACGTGGTAACAATTCCTAGTACCGTAGCTGAACTTAGGCCCTCATTCTGTTATTTAAAGTACAGGGTTTAAAACTGTTCAGACCTCTCCAGTACCATTGAAAACCCCATACTAACTTTGTTTCCTGATGCAGGTTTGAATATCTTTTTAATTTTGACAACACCTTCGAGATCCATGATGACATAGAAGTACTGAAGCGGATGGGAATGTCCTTTGGCCTGGAGTCAGGCAAATGCTCCCTGGAAGATCTGAAACTTGCTAAATCACTGGTGCCAAAGGCTTTAGAAGGTTATATCACAGGTATATTAACTGATGTTTTCACATGTTGTCCCTGATTAAATGTCAAACCCTAACTTGTTAAAAGCTTTTTCATATAAAACTGCAAAATTTTAGAAAATTTGTGCTTTTATCACCAAATGAGACTTTTAACACTTTATATAATAAATGTAGGACCTTTTTCAAAAAATTAGATTAAATACATTGTTTTCATAACATTGTGAACTTAAATCTATACAATATACACTATATACATGTAAATTGGCTGACTCACCACTAAATGTGGCTCTTCACAGAGATCTTTTATCTGTAAATCCCAGTACCCAGCCTAGAGCCTACTTAAGTGTAAGCTTTTAGTAACAGCTCGATAAAAAAGCTTTTAAAATTTTTTCTCTCTTAGTGCCCTCTGGATACTTCAGGGGCAACTTTGGGCAGTTTACAAATGAAAGTAGGTACACGCCACCCTGCTCTAGTGGCAGGCTTTGTTACAGTAGTCCCCGCTTATCCTCGCAGGTATGTTCCACAGTGATGCCTGAAACCACGGATAGTTCCGAATCTGATTGCTGTCAACTCCAAACATGTTTCTGTTCCTGTCTTCACCCACAATTTTAATGTCTTTTCCATCTTACCTAAGCATCTGTCACACTTTATGGCTGTAACTCTTGTAGTGTGAAGTATGACAGCAAAACTAGAAAGCGTTTCTTTTTCCTTCACAGTTTCACAGGTAGAGGATTCATTCTTGCTGTAGATCTTAGCAACTTCAGCCTATGATTTTTTTAAGTTGAGAACTTTCACTTTTTCACGTAAAGAAAGCACCTCAGCTTCTCTTTGGCATATCCAAATTGCCAGCATCACCACTCTTGCCCTTTAGGGCCATTATTAAGTAAAATAAGGGCTATTTGAGCACAAGCATTGAGATCCTGTGATAGTTGACCTGATAACCTAGACAGCTACTAAGTGACTAATGGACGGGTAACTTATGCAAGGCGTGGATATGCTAGACAAAGGGATGATTCATGTCCCAGGCGGAAAGGTGTGAGATTCCATCACAACATTCAGAATGGCACGCAATTTAAAATTTATGAATTGTTTATTTCTGGAATATTCCTTTTAATATTTTTTGAACTTCAGAAAGTGAAACTGTAGATAAGGGAAGACTACTATGTATCTATTATCTATTGATACATAAGATTAGAAATACCCTATTAAAATTGGATTCAAAGAGGAAGAATGTAAAAGTTTAAATGCCAGAAAAAAGGGACAATACAGGGTAAATACAGATTCATCACTCCTCTTTCCAGTAAAACTTCTCAAGTTGACTATATTTACTTACTGTTCCTTTTTCCTCTCTCCCAGTCTTAAATTGTTTTTATCCATGAATCTACCACCCAGCTTAGGAAAAAGAACATTGCCATTAAAGTCCACTGCATGGCCACCCTCAGTTCTGTGCCCTTCCCACCCCCTTTATATGTAACCACTCGAATTTCTTGTTTATCATTCACTTGCTTTCCTTTAGAGATGCAAACAACTGTGGTAAACTGGAAACAATTTATTAATTAGTTTTGCCTACCTCTGACCTTTATATAAATAGAATCATAGTGATATATTCTTTGCTGATTTGATTTTTTTTTCACTTAACTTTATGTTCTTTAGATTCATCCATGTGATTTAATGTAGCTATAATTCATACATTTTTACTTCTGTATAAGATTCCATTATAAGAATATGTTTATCTTTTCATTTTTCTGATCATAAACCTTTAGTTTATTTCTAATTTCTCAATATTAAAATACAGTGCTGCTTTACATTCCTGTACGCCCATGAGCAAATATATAGATTGAAGTTGTTGGGTCAAAATCGAGTACATCTGCAGCTTTACCAGACAGTGCCCAAAATTTCAATTTGATTTTACCAAATTACACTCTCACCTGCAGAGGTGTTCTGTTTTCCCTGTCAGGTGAGTCTGAAATAGTATCATTGTAATTTAAATTGAGATTAATTCACAAACCATAAAATACACCGTTTTAAAGTGTGCAATTCAGTGGTGTTTTAGTATATTCACACAGTTGTGCAACCATCACCACTAATTCCAGAACGCTTTTATAACCCCAAAATGAAACTTCGTAGCCATTAGCAGTCAATTCCCATTCCCCCAGTCCTTGGCACCCACTAACCTACTTTCTACCACTATGGATTTGTCTATTCTGGACATTCATGTAAATGAAATCATATAATATGTGACCTTTTGTATATGGCTTCTTTCACTTAGCATAATGTTTTCAAGGTTTATCCATGCTGTGCATTATCAGTACTTTATTCCTTTTTATGGCCAAATAATATCCCATTGTATGGAGGTACCACACTTTGTTTATCCATTCTTTAGTTACACTCTTTCCACTTTTTGGGTGTTTTGAATGATACTGCTGTAAATATGCTTGTAAAAGTTTTTGTGTGAACAGTATACCTGGGAGTGGAATTGCTGGATTATATGCTAATTCTGTGTTTAACATTTTGAGGAAGGTCCGGCCCATGGCTCACTTGGGAGAGCGTGGTGCTGACAACACCAAGTCAAGGGTTAAGATCCCCTTACTGGTCATCTTTTTTTTTTTTGTCCTTTTTGAGACCGGCTGCACTGCCCTCAGCCAGTGAGTGCTGTGAGTGAACCGGTCATCCCTATATAGGATCCGAACCCGCGGCGGGAGCGCTGCTGCGCTCCCAGCGCGGCACTCTCCTCAGTGCGCCACGGGCTTGGCCCTACTGGTCATCTTTTAAAAATAAAAAAAAATTTTTTAAAAACCAAAACATTTTGAGGAAATGCCAAACCATTTTCCAAAGTGGTTGTACCACTTTACAATTCTACTGGCCGTGTATGAGGGTTCTAATTAATTCATAATCTTCTGAACACTGTTGTTATCCATCTTTTTAGTTATAGCCATCCTAGTGGAGGGGAAGTGGTATCTCACTGTGATTTTGATTTGCATTTCCCTCATGACTTATGATCTTCAGCATCATTTCATCTTTTTATTGGCCATTGTATATCTTCCTTAGAGAAACATCTGTTCAGATCCTTTGCCCATTTTTTAATTGAGTTACTTGCTTTTTTATTATGAATTATAACCGTATACTGAAAAAAGAAACACTAGGTTTTGCATGTTCTATAATTCAGGTATATTTCACTAATTCGGAAATCTTCATGATTATCCTAATTCCTGATAATCTTACATATTCTGCAAATATAATTTGAATACCTAAGCAGTGTTTTTGCCTTTGCTTTCTCCTGTTTCCTTCATTTATAAGTATTACCACCTAGAATTTTATATCAGTTTTTAAAGGCATTTTAATATTAATTATAAGGTATATTAAATCAAATATAAACAAAAAGGTAGTTTTTATTTTGTTTTGTGGTTTGGGCCCTTTGCTTACAACAGAAGTTTGTTGATTGAGACTTGGTTTCCATTTGACTTAGTGTTTAAATTGGTACCATCCACCTCCTGCAAACATGCCCCTGCTCTGCCTTGACCCTCAGCCAGCCTGTCCCAGATCTCCACCCTGCTCCCTCCTCCTCACGCTCACAGGTGCAGGTCCTGCTGTTCATTAGCAGTCCAGTCAAACTGGCAGCCTAGCAGGATTTGAATAAAGGGCTTACTCAATAAACCACCAGAACTTTATTCCCAGTGAAAAGGCTCAGGGCTATTAGGCAGGCTCTGTGGTTTTGATCTCTTCATGACCTCATTTGTGGCCTGGGATACCGACTTTCTTCTGGTTAGGTCAAAGGAAGAAACGTGTGAATGGTTCTTGGGTAAGAGTGTGAGAACCATTGTGTGGATCCTATGATAATATGAAAGAGATGTAGGCCTTTCAAATTCATTGTAAAAAGAAAATGTAATGTGTTATGTTCACAAACAAGTAAGCTGTGTTCTGACAGAAAGTTTCCATAGTTTTAAATACTAATTAATATTCAGCATAGGATTCTGGCTTTAATTTCATTTTCTTATACAGACTTGCCCTTACTTAATGTACTTAAAGTCTGCTATTCTTCTTAGAATTGAAATCCTTTTTTTTCACAACTGCCTTGGCCTGCGAAGAAAAAGATTCACAAGACCATTCTAAAATTAATTTAGTCAATTAGTTTACTTTTTTCCTGTATGGGAATGTCTTCTCCCTTGGTCAAACAATGGCAGGATCTCAGTACATATGGTTTCTTTTTTTTTTGCACAGTAATTGCAAAAATATTTTGATTAAATAAAAGTTCATTTTGTGAAATTACATTTTCTTTTTCCTTTTTGTCTTTTTTACTGACCAGTAACGGGATCATAACCCTTGGTGTCGTGCCCATACCGGGGACCGGCAATGGGATTGCAACCCTTGGTGTTGCGCCCGCACCGCGCTCAGCCAGTGAGCGGGAACCGGTCTCCACATGGGATCTGAACCCTTGGCGGGAGCGCCACCGCGCTCCCAAGCGGCGCACTCTCCAGTGCGCCACCGGGCCGGCCCATGAAATTACATTTTCTAAGTATACATTTGGTTTTACAGTGTAAGTCAAAGAATTTCTTATTTTATTTTATTTTTTGTTTTTTATTTTTTATTTTATTTTATTTTATTTACAATGTAGTTGATTTTCGTGTTTCTTTACCGAATCCTCCCTCCCCCTCCCTCTGCCCCTCCCACCCATCAACATCATATCTGTTCCCTTGTCTTGACCAGTTCAAGGAATTGTGATTGCTGTGTCTTCTTCCCCGCCCCACCCCGTTTGTTTGTGTACTTATTTATTTATTTTTAGCTCCCAGAAATAAGTGAGAACGTGTGATATTTCTAAAGAATTTCTTTTTAGAAGCATATTTTTAGTGTATCTACCACCTATTTTGTAAAGTCACTGTTGAAAGAGGCTATAATCAGTAACATTTAAATCTTATATGTTTCAGTTACTGCTGCTTTTGAACTAACATTTCTACATAGGGAGATAAAAAGTATTTAACAAGTAAAATTATAATAAGAATTGATCAGTGTTATAATAGGAGAAATATGGTATAAGCATAGAAAATGAGTGCAAGGATCTACTCAAAACATTTTCAGTGGACTAAAACAGTAATGTCTGTTTCACCCTCACTAAAAATATGACTGCATATAGCTTTTTAAAATAAGGGCTAGTTTGAATTGTAGCATAAAGGACACCAAGAAAAAACTTGTCAGGAAAAAAGAGTAGATCTTTGATGAGTAATAACATTGAGTTCACCAACAGGCACTTTAAAAGACTGTGCAGTGGAGGTTTTAGCAAAAATATGTCTGCACCATAAGCAGGGTGTCCTTCTTACCTAAGGTATTTCTGATTTGACTTTCATTGTACCTACTCCTGGCTTTGGCTATTAACACCAGAGTCAAGGTCTTTTTTGATGAGGACAACAGGTGTCCAGGATAGTATACTGATCATTGTACCCAGTACCAGTGTGCTCTGGCAGTCTTATCTAAGGAAAAAAAAGACTGTGATTGTTTTAATTTAAATGTTTTCTCCCTATAGTCTGCCTTCCTGTATTTTTTTCATACTCTTATGTTCTAGGGAAAAAAAAATTTTTTTTCCTATGAAAATTAAGAAACCTGGGTTCTTCCTAGGGCAGAAGAATTGTCTAGCTGTGATTAAAAATAGGTTTATCCCTTAATTTTCTGGGCTTTCTTCACACTGAAACAGCAGCCACAGAACTTGCAGAGACAACATCTTCTGTTGTTTTTTCCTTCAGATATCTCCACAGGACCTTCTTGGTTAAATCAGGGACTACTTTTGAACTCTACCCAGTCAGTTTCAAATTTAGACCTGACCACCGGTGCCAACTTACCCCAGTCAAGGTACGTATATTTTTCAAGGTTAGAAAGACAAACCACAAAACCATGACTCTCTGAAGGGGAGAGGCAGGACATGTCACTACCGGCAGAGGACCTGAGCAGGTTTGTGGCCAATCTTGCCAGTGGCACCTCCTTCCTGTGTTTTTATTCCTATGTTTTACAAAACATGTTTATACCACGTTAATGAGCCTGTGTGTTTTTAATTGTTTACTAGCGTAAACCAAGGGTTATGCTTGGATGCTGAAGTGGCCTTAGCAACTGGGCAGCTCCTTGCCCCAAACAGTCACCAGTCCAGCAGCGCGGCCTCTCACTGCTCTGAGTCCCGAGGCGAGACCCCCTGTTCATTCAACGATGAAGACGAGGAAGATGATGAGGAGGATTCCTCCTCTCCAGAATAAAGACAGGAGGAAGCCCACGTTTTAATATTGACGCTCATGTGTGTTTTTAGTGTGAGCTCTTGTTTTTTAAATGATTGCTTCAGTCTTTGCCTTTGTTTGCACTGTGTGTTCAGTGAAAACTAGACAAACACGATAAGCAAATTACATGAAGGCTGAGATGCTTGAGATGAAAGTTACCATAGCGTGAATGAAAACTCTGATCAACAGAGCAGTAGATCACATCGCAAACAAAGCATGTTTTCTGAGGAGAGAGAGGGGGAATAATCCCTGAAGAACTGGCAGTGCGAATGCAGCTCATTTATCTTCTGTGAGGTGGGATCTTTGTATTCCCCACACCTGCATAATCGTTCTTAGGATTGAGATTGCTGCAAGGAACAGTTCTTGACGGTCATGTTTCTCTCCCTTGCCTGGGCTGTCTTTTACAAGGCAGAAATGAACACGAAAGTCTCCAGTAGGGAGACTTATACAGTGAGGGTTATAGAAGGCAATCCTTGTGGCCCAAGGAGCACAGACTAAACTGCTGAACTAGTTGAAAGTCTAGTTGAGGTGCTTTACGCATCAGCTGCCTTAGACAGCTTCTAGAAAGGAGCGAGCGCTAATTCTTAAGTACTTAAGTGACATTTAGAATAATTTATAGTAAAACTGAAATGATTGTTATTAGCCAATGCATTGGTGCATAGAATTTTCTAGGGCTACTTCTGGAAGCCAAAATAGAATCGCATTTTCATGTGCATTAAATACTTTGCCAGCACTGCCTTTTGCCCAGCATTCTAAATCTGGAGTTTTACAGAGATGGACTTATCTATAGTTCTAATCAAAGCTATGCATTTCATACAGCTTTTTCATTTAAAACAAACAAAAAAATTCCTATGACTGAGATGCTTGCCTACAGTTCCCTGCAGTAATTGTGTGATTTCACCTTGTGTGCAATTTGTGAAAATGAACCGTATGTCATTACTTTTGTCTTAAAAGTCTATTTCAAGAATATGAACAGCAATGTTTTCTTTTACATGTCACCTTTTTTCACATTTGTATTAATCAAAATGACCTTATCGGTTTACCTTTATTCCTGGTAAATTACATTTTAAACTAAACCAATATTCAGTGTTTCACAGAAACATGGAAAAACATTGAACACTCCAGTTGATTGAATATGTAGTAGCGTGGTGTATAGTCTGTTATTTCACAGCCAAAGATGCCGTTAGCACTGCTGCACTGCTGGTATGTTCACAACTACTGCTCCTTTGAATTGAGGAGTGTGGAGACATCTGCCACCATGGCCAAGCCCGGCTTAATTTCTCAGTAAGGCCTTGAAAAGGAGCAAATAATAATGGGAGGATTAACTCTAGAATTTTGAGTTGAGTCATATGGATTTGTCCCACAATTGTGCATCTAGCGTCTCTGCGCCCAGCACTAAGTTTGGCCCAATGTTTTTTTCTAAATCCCATGAGAGAAGTGCAGCCTCAATCCTGTGACGCCTTTTTAAACATCTGCCAGCATGCTTACAGTGAGCTGGGGATGAAAGCTTTGGCTGGCTTGAAATTTTTATTAAGGCCATAAAAACTAATAAACAAGAACATACAACTTTAGCTTAAGCTCCTTTGAGACAAAACTTTCATTTTGTCACAAATAAGCCATAGTGCAGACTCAGAGTATTCAAGAGGGCAGGTAGAGCAAGGCATTTTTTAGAGAATTCTGTCATAGTTTGAGTTCCGGAGCCCACCTTTCAGACCGGTCACATGGGAGCAGTCCTGAACACTGCAAAGGCTGCAAAAGATTCCCATGGGTCCTGCAGGAGATATTTCTATCCGAAAACTGTCAGCTTCACAGGTCAGGTAAAACGGGATGTCCTTCCAAACCGTCCTTCGAGGGGCTGCTGCCGCCTCTATTAACCCCAGTCTTTCTCATCTCTGTACTTAAAGGGGACCTAGCAGCGACCTGGAAAGGCCAAAGGTAACAGCCACTTTTTTACTCTTCAAAATATTGAATTACAGGTACTAAGATACATTTCAAAATTTAAGACAGGTACATTAATTATTATAACTATTCCTCTACTGAATAGCAAAATCCTTGGTAGAGTTCTTGGGAAACCATCTCCTTTCCTATCTCTGCTGCTGTAGTGCTTTAAATTGATAAAATATGGATTTTTTTTTTTTTAAAGGCAACCAAAGACTCTTATCTTTATTGGTGCCCTCCTTTGGCCATCTCCACCATAGGCGTATGGCGTTTGGCCTCCATTCCTGAGTGATGTGTTTGGGTTACTGCTGAAGACATCTCACAGAGTGACGCTAGTCACCAGTACGTGTTGCTGGTGTAAAACCTTACCTGGAAAAAACTAGGTTGAGATGTTTAGAAAGATAAATTCTGTTATTCTGTATCTCCTCTTAACATATTTATTTGGGTCTAAAATTCGGCACTGAGTCACAATTTCATATAGAAATCAAAGTGAAAATGTTATGAAATTGGGGTCACAACAGCCCCGGTTTCTCTGTAGGAGTAGCACGTGGGCTTACTTGCGCGTGCACACACACCCCTCTCAGATGGTGCTGGTCAGAGTCTGCTTTTTGGGGAGTTCGAGAGGCCTTATCTCCACTGAGGGTCAGTTTGGCTGTTACCCTTTCAAGAGTGTAGGGTCATTCAGTCAGTTAATTCTTGCTACCTTTAGTACGTGTGCAGGAAATACCAGGCCCTGCATATGTTACTCTTAGTGGTAGGAGCAAGGCTGCAGCATACACAGCAGTGCTCCAGGCCCTCAGGTGCTCCCGAGGCCTTCCCCACTATCGTCTTTCTCTCATCCACTTACTCTTTTCATGGGTTGAAAAGCAGTTTCAGTGAGTGTCTATGTACATTGTGCTTTATGATTGGGGAAGGCCTTGGGAGAAGCCAACAAAGGAGGGGCTAACACAGCAATCTTCCACCTCTCAACAGCCCTAGAAAACTATGGATGTGGCCACATGTTTTTGCATCCTTCAATTTAAGTCTTTAAAGAAGTGATGGGGAGAAAAATCTCTGTAATTTCTGCCATTTTACCAGGAAAATTTACAGTTGTAACAGTACTCTGCCGTATTTGAAAAGTAATGCCAGGGTCAGTCCTCAAAAACAAAGTATCCCCTATCGGATAATTCAGATGGAAGTAATTACAAAGGAGGAGCTCAGCCTTGCAGACATCTGTAACTCGGCTGTTTGCTAAACCACAACTCTGGCTACTTGGGTCATAGAGACAGCAAAGTTGCTACAAGTACAGATGTGACTGTAGGCCCCTGAGACATTGTGGGTGACGGGAGCACACGATGGAGAGAGGCCTGTTTCACCTTGTTCATGTCAAGGCCCTTGAACACCTGTCAAACATCCTCCTACTCAAGTGGGCTGTCCTTACTTAGCAGATCTGTGACATAGACCTTAAAACTGTGCGGCCTTAGTGGTAAGTATGGGTTGGGGGTTGGACAGTGAATGTAAAGATTTAATCGTTCAGTGAGTATCTGAGTACTTACTATGTGCCAAGAATTGGGGACAGCAGGGACAGCCCTGCCCTTGGACAGCTCTCATTCTTCTGGGGAAACAGGTGATCACAAACAGAAAACATTCAGATTTATTGCTATGGGAAAACAAAAAGCATAATGAGACAGTGGGGGGAAGGCTGCTTTTGCTTGGGATGGCTTGGGAAAACCCCTGTGAGAAAGTGACATTTGTCCTGAGTCAGACAGTGGAAAGACAGATGTCTCTGTACTTCTTAACATGCTATTCTATCCCATAACATGCACTTGGAATATCTGCTATGTTCCAAAGGGCCCACTGTTCCAATTTTAAGTATACATTTTGGAGTCTTTTAAGAAACTTTTAAATTAAAAAATACCAAACTTAGCCACCTGCAGTATCCAAAAGCCAAGAGAAGATTCTAACAAACCCATGAAGTTCTCATTATTAGCTTAATTACTTTCAGTTGAACCCACACACTAGAAAAGTGATTAGAAATGGAGGACTTTTCTGCATGTTTTCTAAGTTGTTGGATACATAAAGACCTACTTTTTGTACTGGATACATAAAAGAAAATCTTTATTCTGCATGAGGGCTGGCTTTGGTGAAGCTGAAGACTAGACTACTTAAGAACCGTTTTCCCAAATGGATTCCCCATATCCATGCACCCAAAGCAATGATCCCAAGAACTGATGGCCATTAATGTGTATTTTTCAAAGACCTGCAATGTGTGCTGGGAGCCTGCACCATGCCATTTGAATGTCTCAGAAATTTGCCTCCCTGCCCTCTAATTCACAGTTAATACTGTGTTCGGTTAAACTTCTACTCAAGCCAAGTGCTGTTACTCAAAAGGAAAAAGCCTGATGTTTGCTTAAGATTCTGCCTTTAAAAAAAAAAATCAGGCTAAATGCCCACATAATTCATAACATCTCAGGAAATAACTGCTTTACATAACCAAAATGTCCCTGAAAAGTTATGCTTAGGTAATCTCTGGAACCCAATTTTCCTACGTATGTCTGTGTTCTACAGTCTGCTATGGAAGAAACAGTAGGGCCACTGCAGTTGTACACCCCGGGAGTCCCTTGACAGGTACAGTGACTCGTGGTAGCAGACACCCACTCACCATGGCGCTGAGATGGGAGGATGTATATTCATCTATTATGTGTATTCTGTGCAGCTGTAGACAAGGCAAAATCTTGTATAGCCTTTGCTTTACAAAAAAGGCCTGTAGAATTCAGTGCTTTCTTGACCCCTTGCTATTCCGGTGGCTTCGACTTTGATTCTCCCTGCTTAGATGCTTTGGAAGCCCATGTAACATCCCTTCCGCACCAAGGGTATCAGAATGGGAGAGAGTATCTCTTGCACCCCACTCACTTAAAGATGTGAAACAAGCCAAGAGCTTGACTTAACATCCTTCAGCCTATTGGTGGCAGAGTCTGCACCAAACCCAGGGCTGCTTCCTCCTGTGACGGCTACATTGCCTTCACTACAATCCTTCCACACGGCTTTTGGATTATTGTCAGTCCTCTGTGTCACCAAGTGCCAAACAACCGAGGAGCAGGAGTGAGGCTCCTCTCCCAAGCCCCAGCGTGAGGCTGTGGTGTTCGCTTTGGGCCTCTTGACTCAAGACCCCGGGTTTAGACAGTCACAGCCGCGAAGAAACTCATCCCTCCACAAAGACTCATTCACATTGGTCATTGGTAGGGAGCTTGAGGTTGAGTTACCACCTGACCCTTTTGTGCCACACCAGCTCGTTTCTGTCCATGTCTGTCTCAACAAGGAAACTTCCTGAGATTGTGTTTGGATCATAAAACCAATCACTGTCATGCTTCACTTCAAACATTTTTCACCATGCCGGGCAGCTTATAGCCATGGCCTGATAATTTTGCTTGTTCAGACTGGGGTCAAAGATTTTTTTCATACTAAAAAGTCTGTGATGACCCAGCTACTTTTCTGCTAAAAGGCTTCTCTGGGCACATTGCATTTCTCTTTCCCAGAGGTACCATGACAGATTCAGTCTTTCAGTATCCTGAAAAATGGAACCTCCACCTAACCAACTGCACTGGCTTCTTAGGAGGCCTGAGCTGTGGGGACCATGCTTCAGTGCTGTGAGTTCCTCCACTTATTTTGCTCACCACTCACCTCACTTGACTTTTGGACAAAAGAGGGGGAGAAAAGGCTGTAAGTCCAAGTCATCAATTTGTTCACTTTTCATTTGAAGATGCTGTGCTCTGACCATGTGCTGACAGGCTTTGTTTCCAGAAAATAGAGTTTGTTTGTTTGCATGAAGGATACATCGTGGTGCCACATGCTTTAAGCAATTTAAATGAGAAGTTAGTGGAAAATGAAAACACCACATCTGACGGGCCTAATGTAGACTTTCCTCTATTAGATCGAAGTACCTAACCGAATATATTATTTTGTAGTATCTCAACTTTGTAAATAAATACTATTATTTTTATATGGAAATTTTATAGAAGAGCTATTTCTGTATACTTAATTATTACTGGATTTTCTGAAACTGTTTCCAGTAGATAATGGACAAGCCCTGAACGGTGTTCCACTAAGGGTGGTTCAAGGACCACCTGCAGCAGAATTGACTGGAGGAGTTTTAAAGTCGTGCGTTCCTAGAACCCACTCCAGACACTAAGAAGCTCAGAGGGTGAGGCCTGGGAAGCTGTTTTTAATAAACTCTGATATTTTTTGACCATTAAAGTGTGAGAATTTTTGTCCATCCTATAAGAACAAAAGGAAAAAAGAAAAAGCATCTGAAATTAGTAGTGCTTGAGGAAAAAATGTATCACTGTTTCATGATTTGAATGAGATGTACTATAGAAAAAAATAAATAACTTAAAATAACGTTGGTCTCGTTGTTAGTGGGCTAGTGTGGGGTGGGTCAGTGGATGCTGTGGTTCTGTGCCCAGGTCAGCCCTGTCTAGGATCGAGACACTCCCCAGGAATCACTCTCAGAGGGCGCTGCCTCCCACAGGCTGAGGCTTCCTCCCCAGGAGCAGCTCGCACACAGCCAGTGAGGGGCACCAAAGCCCAGCCTCGGGGTATTGGAGGGGTCGTCCCAACTTCAGAGTTGCCAGCGGGACTGGCTGAGGCCCCTGGCAACTGGGTCATGGCTCAGCTTGTCCCTCTGCCCACTCTTCCTTCCCTCTCTACCAAGAGCTCTTTCCCACGTACACCACCTGCCCCACCTAAGATGGGGAAAATATGTCAGATGTGGAAAGTTGTTCTTAGACCTATGATTTTCTGTCTTTTTTTAAGTTACTTTAGAAAATAACAGCATAAAGAATAAGTCTTTACAATCCCAGAAACAATTGACTTGAATACAGCTTTTAAGAAATATGCTTTCTTACTCCCCCTTACACCAAACCAGCATCGGAGAGAACAGCTATAGCAGTGAATATAGAATGCCATGTCCCCAGGCCTCAAGTGGAATGTTACCTGGCCCCAGAGCCACAGCAGCCCCTAAGCACCTGCTCAAGCAATCTACCTGCCTCAGGGACAGGCAGGATTTCTAGGTAACACTATCTGCTATGTTCCAGCAAGTGCAATACGTGGGCAGAAGGCTGTGAGAATGGAACCAGGTCTTGAAAAGACACAAGGAGATGTTTAAGTAAACATTCATTTGAATATTAATATCCAGGAAAGAAGGCATCTTCTCATACT